TGTTCTAGGTTGGGTTTAGCCGGCACAGCCGGCAGATGCAACAGGAATACTTTTGTTTTAAAAACGGTCAAGGACTGTCTATTTATTCATCCGGATGCTTATGGACGGCTGCCTGCTTAGAGTTGGTAACTATAAGCAAACAACCATCCAGGGACAAGCAGAGCCAATGCATCCGGCATACCGCATGTATCCATTCAAATTGCAACAAAGATATTTCATTCAAGGCAAAATTGCAAAAAATTAAAGCAAACCGACACAGTCGGCATATATATATATAAATTCAAATTCAAATGTCAGCCAGATCCTTGTCCTGGGAAAAGATACAAAAGTACGCGGCACGCAGGCCGGATGAAAGCAGGAGTAAAAAATGATAAGCTACTGCTGCTGCTGCTGTTGCTGCTCTAACGACTGGTCCTGACCGGCAGGAGGGGCTTCTTGAGTTTCCTGGGTTTTGGCTTCTCTAGCCTCACCCGGCGCAGTCTCTTCCGCATGCTCCTCCTCGATGCCGGCCCACTCTTCAAAGGGAGCCGGCTTCTCAGTCTCGAGAACTTGAGCATCAAATACCTCGGTAGTGTATTTGTACTTCAAGTCGAAGAAAGCATAATCAGTATCCGGATGGATCAAAGACCATGCCATTTTCATGCGCTCCTCACAGTCGCGATCGTTCTCGGTAACTAGCCGGTCGTGCTCAGCCGCCAGTTGGTCCTTGTGCTCTTTCTGGGTCTTGGCCAGCTCATCCTTCAGCTGGGTGACCTCAGCCTTCAGCCCGGTGTTCTCCTTGTCAGCGTCCCCCAAGGCTTTAACGTCAGCCTTGAGTTGGTTAACTTGGAGTTCACGGTCGGCAGCCTTTTTGTTGGCTGTATCAGTAGCAGCCGTGAGCTCCCGGATCAGCTCCTCCTGTTTCATCTCCCGGGCTTTAGTTTGGATTTCAAGCATTAAGGATTTATATTGTCAGACATCTATTAATTCGGCTGCCCGTATCTAGGCATCCCTTACCTCCTCTTGCTTCTTCCGCAAGGGGGCTTTCATCCCATCAACCCTCAACATCACCTGCAAAGTCAGCCGGAAAAGAAGTTAGCTTCTCAGTTATATTGCACAAAAGTACCCCAACCAGTGTATTAGCTCAGCAGCAGTGAGTTGATGCAGTCAATGTTGACCTGGTTGATACCCGGTACCGCCTCCTTCTCGGACTGGGTGAGGGTCCTTAACATTCTCTTGGCATAATTTTGCATATCCGGCCAACGGGAAGAGGCATCTGCATCATGAGATTTATTCGTTAAGTACTGGGCATAAGCAGCGCTTATATTCAGCCGGCTGCCTAAAGAATCCCCTGACTGAGAAGCTTGGGACTTGACTCGAACAGGCCCAAGCGGGCGGGGGGGGGGGGGGGGGTCAAAGGTAAGAGTCGTACCTTGGTTTTCAAGCTGAGGGGTGGCACCACCCCCAGCCGCATTGGAGCTGGATGCAACGGCAAGCATCCGGTTAGAGGGAACCTCAGGCTCCCTAGGCCTCAGCCGGCCTTGAGCTCAAGCCCAGATCACGCAGACTTTTGCAGACTTTTGCCTGAAGACGTAGGCCTCTTAGGAGCCGGTTGTTTCCGGCAGAGGCAGAAGCAGGAGCAGGCGGGACCCTCCGCCTTTGTGAAGCAGGCTGGGAAAGTTCCTCCCCCGGTCTCTTCACCATCTGCCTCAAGGAACGAGGAACGTTCTGGCTCCCCGTCTGCAAAAGACAGTATTGCAACCGGTTAGTGTCAAGATGGTTTGCAAGACATACAGACGGTAAAAAGATCAGTCGGTGCTTACCCTATCACCCTTGGCCGCCAGTTGGGCCCTCTTTTTCTCAAGCTGCTCCTTCCGGACTTCAGCAAGTCCGGATCATTCAAACACCATACAGGCGGCATAAGACGCCGGTTAATCAATAAACTTACGTTTGCTCCAAAAGGTGCTAAGACCGCAGGCGGAAAGGAACGCCTCGTCCTTGAACCAGTCCGGATGAGGGACCCAGAACTTAGGGACGATTACTTGTGTCCCATCATCCAGTGGCAGGGTTGTCTTCTTATAAAGGCCCGGCTCCATTATCTGATCCCAAGACCTCCCCGGTATCTTGGGGAGGGCGCATTTCTTTCCCAATAGAGCCGGGATCTTATTGTAACGGCGCAGCCGGTGCTTCACAGCCGGAGAAGGGGAATAGACCATATAGAATTTGCTCTTCCAGCTGGTCCATTTAGATGGCTTCTCCAAAGTCATCATGTACTCCGGATGCGTGGTCAATGTGTACCATGCATTCCAGCCGCCTGGGGCACGGCTAAGATAGTACATGTGCGCAAACGCCTCCCAGCTAGGCGTCACGTCATGCATCTCACATGCGGCTATGTACCCTAAAATGTTCACCCAAGAGTTGGGTGTGAGCTGCCATACGCTAAGGTCGTAACCCCTTAGAATGGCTTTGATTGTGTTGTTGAGGGGGAACCAGAGGCCGACTTTGAATGCCGCCTCATAGCAGCCGAAGTAATTATCGGCGTGTTCCACGTCGTCATCCCAGACGACGGCTGCATCTACAGGTGGAACAACTATCTCCCATCCGGCCCCTACCGGGCGCTTCTTCAAAAATGCCGGGAGTGTTGTATTCAAAGTAACGTCCCGGGCGCTCATGTGCGCCTCTGTTGGGTTAATTGCTGAAGGCTAGTTATATGCCTCCTCATCCTCTTGAGGGGCATCCGGCTCCATTGTCGACTCTGTGGAGTCAGATTGTTGGACGGTTTCTTCACCGTCCGAGCTTCCGGACTCTTCAAGAATCTCATCTCCGGGCATGCTAGGTACGCCCGGGTGGTCAAAAGGAGCATCATCAACTAGAGTTCCGGCTGAATCATCGGACTAGTACTCGGGGTCAACAACCGTTTTCCTTGTCCGAGCCATTCTGTCCTGCACATAAACAGAGACGGTCGGATTCGTAGAAGAATAAGGGTGGTCCAAACACCCCCATACGGCATCCCCAGTCCTAGGTTCAGCCGTATCCGGTGAACGGTTGACAACTGCCCTAGGTTGTAACGTGTGTGTGTGTTGGTGAGTCCATTACTCTAACAACCTATACAGCCGGGTAAAACTCAAAAAGTTGCAAGGGGAAAAGACGGTACCTTGAAGTAGTGAAAAAACTTGCTAGCAGACGGATCTTAGAGTTGTTGCTTGAAGATACCCCACACGGTATCCCTTTGAAGAACAACTGAAGTTTGTAGAAGACTCAACCGTTTTCTCAGAATGTGGCTTGAAGATACCACAGGCGGAAGTGTCCGGCCGTGTATGTTTTGAAAGCTGAAGAAAAAGACAAACAGTGAGACGTTTTTGAAGAAAATCGCTCAAAGATATCTCAGATGGTAGAGGGTCTATTGAATGCAGTTTTTGAAGATTGCTTAGAGATGCGCCAAATTGCTCGAAGATACCCCAGACGGTATAAGACTGGTTGAGGGTCTATTGTACGCAGTTTTTGAAGATTGCTTAAAGATGCCCCATGCGGTATAAGACCGGCTGTGGGTTTATTGTAATCAATTTATGAAGTAAATTGCTCGAAGATACCCCAGAAGGTATAAGACCGGCTGTGGTTCTATTGAAAGTAGTTATAAAGAAAATTGCTCAAAAGTGCCCCAGGCGGCATAAGCATGGTTGTGGGTCTGATGAATGCAGTTGAAGAAAATTGCTCAAAGATGCCCCAGACGGCATAATACCGGCTGTGGGTCTGTTGGATGTAATTTTTAAAGAAGACTGCTTAAAGATGCCCCAGGCGGTAATGGGTCTATTGAATGCAATTTAGGAAAGAAATTGCTTAAAGGTGCCCCAGACGGTATAAGACCGGCTGTGGTTCTACTGAAATCAAGAGGAGAAAATTAACTAAGTCAGACGGTACCTAAGTGAGTTGATCAAAGAAAGCACTCAACCGGTATCCGAACGTATCTGAATCAAAGGAGCTGGTTGAACGCAAGAGCAGCCGGTGTTAGAGCTTTTTTCTCTCAAGGAGATTTTTTGTGAAAATTTGCAAAGTATGGAATGAGAGGAGGAAGCCTCCCATTTATAGGAGGGGGGCAGAAGGCGAACCGTCACCTCCCCCTCCAATTCAAATTCGAAATTCGAATTCAAAAAAAAAAAATGGAGGGAAGGAGACGAACTGTCACCTTCCTAGAATGTGACACGTGTCACAGGTGCCACATGGCAAGCCACTTCACACCTGTGAGGGGCAAATGTTTGGGGTAAAAAACCCTATGCCACGTGGCCCAATATCAAGCTGACACGTGTCAGGCCCAATGGAATCCAATCGAATGCTGACACATGGCACTGTAACCCTAATAGGGGATAGAGGAAAAACTCCTCATTTATGGGACACATTCAGAAATACTTATAAATACAAACACAAAACCGAGCAATATTAATTGCAGAATCTCTCAAATCAGAGAGAAAACCCATTTACTTTCCACACTTTTATACATCCGGAGACGTTCTAACTTGATCGTCAGAGGCGGAACTCCACCCAACTGGAGTTTCGTGGTTTTGCAGGTACAGACAGTCGGCGCGGATTCCCAGAATTGTAACTCTCCCGAGGGATTCCTAAAACCCCGAAACAAATAGTAGAAGTGGAAAATATAAAAAAGTTTTTATTCTTATTACTATCATTACTACTACTACTACTAAATTATTATTATTATTATTATTTTTTTTTTTTTTTGGGTAGATTTAGTCTCTAGAGACTTTTTGAATGTAATGGTTGAGCACTTTATGGGGAAAACTAGCTTACAATCATTATGTCTATACTGCACTATCTTTAGTAGCAAAATTGACAGAGAAAAAATATCGCCTAATGTACAGAAGCTAAACATGGACATATAAAGACTGCTTGTGGTCGAATGTTGATTAATCTTGCCATCTTGAACATTGCTTGTGGTCGTATGACTTGATATAAACACTTTGTATCTGCTTTCGTTGCTAAGTCCACAAATTTGGATCCATTGTTTACAGGGTGTTGAACATTGCCCCTTTTATATGAAAACTGGCACATGTAGCTATGGGGCTAATTGCAAGTTTGACCACCCGCCTCCAGGAGAGGTCATGGCCGTGGCAGGACAGGAAACTTCCACAAAAGCTGAAGAGGAAGAAACCGAGGATGGAGAGAATGTCGCAACAGCTGAATAATAGCGGCATACTGTTAAGATTGTTGTATAAGTTCAGAAAAGCTGTTTATGATTCCTGTTGATTTGTAGTTGTGCGATTATATTTTCTTCATGTTAATTGTCTAATCTATGCATCCTTTTTACTATTTATTTCTCCTTTTTTTAATGGTTCTTTAGAAATTGATAACTCTGCTTAAGTTTGACAGCCATCAAATTTAAATCATTCAGGTGTTCAGTACTTCAGTGGTTATATAATCGCTTGATACTAGTGAAATCTTAGTCCCAAACTGCGCTTAATATTTCTTTTGCTTGCGCATGTGTACTGTTAATGGGCCTGATTATTGGGCAAGTCGGGGCTGGTCGGTGTGGGTCATTACTAATTAGCGCGGTGGGTTAGTAGCGGGCCAGAGGAAATATTATGCAGGTCAGGGTTGGGTGCAAAGTAAAGTGGGTCATTAACGGGCCTTTTCTATTTCACTTCAAAATCATAATAAAGTAAAGCGGATCATTAACATGTCAACCTTTACTAATAACAATAGTACACTAACAATTTCTATATTTTGGTCTACTTTTGTAATCTTTTGAGAAAAAAAATTTACTACACAATAGATACACTAATAATCTTTTGAAATCATGGAAGCTAATACAGTAGTAATACACCAACAGAAAGTAGCTCCCTTCTCTGCCCCTCTGTCTCCTACTCAGCCGTATTCACTCTCTTAAATATTATTAAATATGGCTTAAGCAAATATCGAAACTGACAGGCAGTTCGGCTGATCTTACAAGGGCTCGATTGCTCAAAGAAGAAGCCTTTAAGAGCTTCCCCAGCTTTCACAAGATCCTCGAGCACCTTGGAAGTATGTCCCTCATTCAACAGCAAAGTCAAGGAAAACCATGAGCATTAAAAAGCATAATTTTTCTTAGCTATACAATATTTAAAATATCAATTGTAAATGCAATCCAATAATAAAATCTGTATCATAATTTTATTTTAGGAAATTTCTCATTGGTAGCCATAAAGAATTGCACATTCTCAATGATAACAAATTTTTTACAAATTCTCCAAAATAGCATTAGTTTTGTTAATTTTCTCTAACATGACAATATTTTTGTATTTAACAACTAATTAACTTAATTAAACAATTATTAAACCAAAAAAAATAAAAACAGCCACCCCACCCAAGCCCCCAGACCCGCCACCCTGCCCCCAGACTCGCCACCCTGCTCCCCACCTCGACCACCACCCGTTGGCGCATATTACTCTTGAAATCGGGCGTCGGCACCATTGCACCGCTACAACCACCAATTCCGTCAACAACAGCCCGATACTAGCAGCTTCTGCTCGCTCCCCTGCTCTCTCAATCACCAACACAAGCTCGCAACCTCTGTTCACTCCGGCCGGCGCCAAAACCCCCTCCTCGGTTCCAGCGAACACGATTTGCCCCACCTCTACAGTCTCACACTCCGTTCCTCCCCTTAAACCACCCCTCGAAAACCTTAAACCCCCAAATAAAAAATCTAGGGTTACGATTTTTCACTTATAGTACTTCAAACTTCATAAAAAAGGAATTCTCTGATTAAAGGCTTGAAAATTGCGATTCAGAGTAATCCATGGGAGAATTGGAAGATAGACGAAGATCTTGGAGGATTTTTACGATGAAATTGAATGAGTGACAATTAATTTGGAGGAGAGAGAGAGAGGGGAGATTAGGGAGGGTTTACAAATTAGGGATGAATGAAGAGCAAGCAGAGTGGTGGTTCAAGGGTCGAGGGTTCAGATGAGGTGTCGCCGGCGCCGGGCGCGATTTTAGGGGTAGTACATGCCGGCGCATGGTGGCTGAGATGGGAGCAGGGTGGCGGGGGTGGGGACAAGGTAGCTGGGTTTTTATTTTTTGTTAATTATTAGGCTAATTCTTTTTTAATTAAGCTAATTAGTTTTTAATTGTAAAAATATTGTCATGTTTGGAAAATTTATAAAAAGTAATGCTATTTAAGAGAATTTGTAAAAAAAATTTGTTTACCAATGAGAATGTGCAATTCTTGATGGCTACCATTGAGAAATTCCCTTTATTTTAATAAGATTAATGAATGGATGATAATTATATTGATAAACACTTTCCAACAAACACATATCTAAGCATATCCAATCATGCCTAATATAAAAGCTACGAACCTCTAAAAAGATGCTAGACATTTTATACTAGAAATAATTGTGAAAATTTTAATCAAATATATGATTAAGGTGATGGAGGAAACCTTTATTAGGTGTAAAGATCACCAGCTAAAAATGATTGTCTTTTCTCGTTTAACTATGTAGGGAACCAAGAAGAAGGGAGATCTATCCACGGAAGGATTGAATGGTCTACATGCCTTTTTGTAAAAGTTGGAGGAGATCATGGCAAGATATACAAAAAAAAAAAAAAAAAAAAAAAAAAAAAAAAGCTGAGAAATTTAAGCATAATTTCTCTTGTTTCTTAACATGATTAGTTTTCTACAAATGCCCTATTCATTATTTTCACATAACTTTGGATCTCTAAGTGCCTTGTTCATCATATTTCAATAACTTTGTTTCTCTGTGGTATTGTAAGTACTTGTGTTTTGAGATAGCAATCAGGCTCGTATTTAACTCAGGGCAACCGAGGCACTCGTCTAGAGCCGCGGACAGAGGCCCCAATTTTGTTACCTATCAAAAATTAAATAAAGATTGTTATTAACTATATGAAAATATTTGAAACATGTTCTTTTTGGCTTGGTGGTTTGTAGAATTATGATAAAGCATCTGTATTCACTAAAGATCACGGATTCGACCCATGCCTTTTTATAAATTTACTTTATTTATTTTTCTTTTTTATTTCAAACCTTTATACTGCATCATTTTTATTTCTAATTAAAATAAATTAACCTTTTCATTTAATTAGGCAAAATTGGACGCAACACACTGAAGTATGGCTTAGATGCACTATGCACCCTGAACTATGCGTAGTAGCCAAAACACCACCAAATTTCCGGCCACTTATTTCATCGGAGGAGGTGAATCCATGCGTTCTAAGTGGAGGAAGACTATATAACTGTTCTAGAGAGTGATGATTCACCTCCTCACAGTAAAATAAGTTGTCGGAAAATTTCATTTATGGCACGCGTTGCACCTAACACCATAGTAGGTGGTGTTTTGGCTGGGTGCTTAGTGTACCTAAGCCATAGTTCAGGTTGTTGTAGCCATCCAATTTTGCCTTTAATTTATTTTAAACCTTTATACTACATCATTTTTAATTCTTAATAAATAAATTTATTCTTTTCAATTCTCACCATATATACATCTATTGAGTAATAAGCTAATGACTAATCTCCATTGTTATATAAATCTGTCCTAAGAACAGTCCTAAGAACAGTGTTGGATCATTCATCATTGCTTCATAGAAACTGTTTTGGGTATTTTTACCCAAGACACGTGGTCCAATGGGGGGTGACACGTGTCACTTCAAGAGAGGTTCCCAGAGAACCAATCCCTGTTGACACGTGGCATCTCTAATGATTGGGAAAAATGGCGACCTTCCTGATCCAATTCCCATGGAAGCCCACCATTCCTAGGTTTCCGTAACCTAGGATGGAGGCATGCATTACGAGACCCTATAAATAGGGAGATGTTCCTATCATGGGACACATTCAGAAATATTCACAAAAAACAGAGCAATCATAAATTGCAGATATTCTCTTGGAATCCGAGAAGATACTTTACTTTCCGCACTTCTTACAGACTCCTTACACGTTCTAACTTGATCGTCGGAGGCGGAACTCCACCCAACCAGAGTCTCCATTGTTTTTGAAAGGAATGGTGTCCTTCCAACAAATGTATTCTTCCGATAGAGGGTTCAGAATTATTACAGAGTTAATTCTTCAGTAAGATCAAGTGATCGGAATGCCTAGGTGGAGGCCGCTTCCGATCAGTAATATCGAGGTACAATTGATATTACAGCTTAATCTTAACTGAACCCTTCGGGTCGAACCCAATCGAATCACCGATCCGAGACGACGAATTAATTCGAAAGGATTTAATGAGTCGAAAGAGTTTTACGAATACAGACGTCGGATATCGAGCCTAGGGCGTCGAGACCGAGCGTCGCAAAATCACAAAGCAACAAGTATGAACATAGCCCTAGCACCACACTGGCCTAGCCATGTGGATGCTAGGCTAGTTCGAGCTAGCATGCACCTAGCATGGCTAGGCGCAAGCCTAAGCACACTAGGTGTGCTAGGCGCACCATCGCAGCCTAGGCACACCATCGCTGACCATCGCAGCCTTAGCATCATGCCTAGGCGCTATCGCAGCCATGGCATGATGCCTAGGCTCCATCGCTGCCTACCGCAAGCAATAGGCGCACCAGGGCTCCTGGCAGCCTATCGCAAGCACCACAAGCACCAGGCAGCCCATCGCAGCTAGCAGCGTGCTTGCCTGGATGCTTAGGTGCGCATGGCAGGGCCACACACGCACCAAGCACAACCATCGCAGTGCTAGGCACTGGCGCATGTGCATGTGTGTGTGTGCCTCGCACCAAGCATAGCAGTACTAGGCACTGGCTGATGTGTGCTAGTGCGAGGGCACCTGGCAGCATCGCCCAGCACGCATGCTAGGCCCTTGCGTGCGTAGGTACACTGGTTGGGCTAGCAATGCGTGTAGCGCATGTGCGCGGGGTGCATGGTTGATGCGTGTGCGAGAGGTGCAGCGAGGGATGCGAGGGTGGTGCGTGTGGCTGGCGAGGCAAGGGGCAAGCATGCGTGGCTCGCTAGCAGCACGCATGCTGGCTATGCGAGCATGTGCGAGAGAGGCGAGGGCCAGCACCAGCGCCAACACGCACCAGCGCCTAGCACTAGCACGCACCAGCGCCAAGCATCGACCAGCACTGCCTGGCTGGGATGCGAGGCTGCTGGCTGGGCTGGTGCTAGCTGGCTGGGCTAGCTGGCACTGCGAGCTGGCGTGCTAGCTCGCAGCAGCCCAGCAGCCCTTTTGCTTAGGGCGGTTTTGTGAGGGGTGGGGACCAAGGCTTGGGCAAAGCCTTGGGGAGCAAGGCAATGGTCCCCCCACCCCCTCATGGTCCTCACCTAACCTTCTCTCTCCCCTTGACACTTGTTGCATTGTGATTGAATTTATTTATTAATTTATTTTAGAAATAAATTAATTAGCAAATTATTCATTCTCCGCATTGGTTGGGGAATGAAGTTCAAGGGTGCATTTCCTTATAAATACCAAAGGCATGGTATTGGGAAATGCACAACCTTGAGTGGAATTAAA